CAAAAAAAAATTTCCCCTTAAAATATTTTTAAAACATCTAACTTTGTTATCGATTTTGTATTTTAATTTAATTTGGACATTCATCTATATCTTCTTGAGTAAATAAAAATGTGATTAAGAAGGAAACAATATACTTTTATCAAATACAAATTATATTTAGTAAAAGAAATTTAGTTTTAGAATCTCTGATTAAAAAAAAGAAGAGTTAAAAGTCTTAAAATTCCCTAAAATGTAAAATTAAAGATTTTCTCCCTAAACTAATAAACAAAAAGAAAATTAATTTCCAAACTGCCCAATAAGAATTGAGAGGTAAAATTTAATTATTTTTTTATATTTTCGACGTTATTATATACGTTACCTACCAATTGTGCTGTGTGAAAGTTAAACCGATTCAGCTCCCAATCTCTCTCCTCTTCCTCTCGTTTCGGCTAACGTCGTCGTCTTCACGATCCACGACGATTCAGCTCCGACTTCCGGCGATAATCGATCAGACTTCCGATTCCGCAAAACCATCCGTTTCTTTTCTCCTCTTTGCTCTCAAATCCCTGATATTTCCCCTGTAATCCGAGACCCTGATTCTTCCCCAATCAATCTCGAAAAATCTCTGCTTCTTCTGAAATTCCAAGACTTGAGCCTCTTACGGATACTTATTCCGGGTAAGAAGATCGAAGAACCATTCAATTTCTTTAACAAAGTCGGTGATTCTTGGGATCTCGTCTTTGTTTTGATGGACACAATTAGGGTTTCCTCTGAGGTTCCTGGATCTTCGAAATCGACTTCACCGTCTCTCACAGAGTCTACATCTCGCACGGAAACCATCAATGGCTCACACGAATTCAAGATCAGCGGCTACTCTTTGGCTAAAGGCATGGGTATAGGCAAATACGTCGCTTCGGATACTTTCATGGTCGGTGGCTACTCTTGGGCGATCTACTTTTACCCAGATGGAAAAAGTCCAGAGGATAATTCAGTGTACGTGTCTTTGTTCATAGCACTCGCGAGTGAAGGAGCTGATGTTAGGGCTTTGTTTGAGCTCACCCTTGTGGATCAAAGCGGCAATGAAAGGCACAAGGTCCATAGCCATTTCGGTAGAACTCTTGAAAGTGGACCTTATACTCTTAAATACAGAGGAAGTATGTGGTGAGTATTCTTGGAAAGTTTTCAGTTTTGAAGTGGAATTAAGGAAATGCTAAAGGATAGTCTTTTGCCTTTTTTTACTGATTAGTTTAGATGGTGACATGTTTGGGTTTTCTTGAATGTTGTGGTTTATTGATGATTTGCTTTGTTTTAGGGGATACAAACGGTTTTTCAAGAGGTCTCTTTTGGAGTCATCGGATTATCTGAAGGACAATTGTCTATTGGTTCGGTGTTGTGTTGGCGTGGTGAAGTCACGTACTGAAGGACCAAGGAGTTACAATATCCCGGTGCCGGTTTCTGACTTGGGTCAGCAGTTTGGAAAGCTTTTGGAAAGTGAGAAAGGAGCTGATATTACTTTCGAAGTCGATGGAGAAACTTTTCCTGCTCACAAATTGGTTCTTGCAGCGCGGTCTCCAGTTTTCAGGGCACAGCTTTTTGGCCCGTTGAGAAACGGAAACACAAAATGTATAAACATAGAAGACATAGAAGCACCGATTTTCAAGGTCCTCTCTAACTCTCTTTCTGGACTAAAATCTGTTTTGTCTTTGGAATGTCTTGGTAGAATCTTTAAAATTCATAGCTTTACAATTTGAGGCTCTTAGTTTCAGTCCCATGTGTTAGAAGGCCTTTATAGGAAGAGATATAGCTTTTGTGGTTCCTTGCCTTTTCTCGGGTGAGTGATTACGGTGTGATATAGGATCTCCTGAGGCTTGACCTTTCTACTTCTCTTCCTGATTACATGATTGTCTGTTTAGAAATGTCTCCATTTCTCGTAGGCAATGCAATGTTAACTGTTAAGTATGAACCTTTATCTGCTTCATGGAGATAATTTGTTATAGGTGAGCATGTCAAAGCAATGCCTAGTATAAACCTTTATCTGCTTTGTAGTTCGGGCTTTGTTTATTATGATTGGTCATTAGTCCATGTGCGAGTCGCAGATCATGAATACTGTAAATTTAAGGTTGAACTTTATGCGGTTAAAAATTCCTTTTCCTTTTGTTTGATGGTTGCAGATGTTGCTTCATTTTATCTACTGGGACGAATTGCCTGATATGCAAGACTTAATAGGCACAGACTTGAAATGGGCATCGACTCTTGTGGCTCAGCATCTGCTTGCGGCTGCAGACCGTTATGCTCTTGAGCGGCTGAGAACAATATGCGAGTCAAAACTCTGTGAAGGAATCAGCATAAACACGGTTGCAACCACATTGACTCTCGCAGAGCAGCATCATTGTTTCCAGCTGAAAGCCGCCTGCCTCAAATTCATAGCTTTGCCAGAAAACCTGAAAGGTAAGAAAGATAGTTTCTCTTTGCTGGAATCACTTTTGATCATCTCTGAAATCCTGAAAACTGTCGTTGTAATAGAAAGTTGTGTGTTATGTTTCTGTAATTTCTTTAGCTGTGATGGAAACGGATGGGTTTGATTATCTGAAGGAAAGCTGCCCGTCCTTACTAAGTGAGCTATTGGAGTATGTGGCTAGGCTGAGTGAGCATTCTTTAACATCATCGGGGCATCGGAAGGAGTTATTTGCTGATGGTTGTGACGTGAATGGGAGGCGAGTGAAGCAACGGTTACATTAAGTAACTAACCGAGAGAGAAAGAGAAGTCTCTTTGAGAGCCTGAGATGAAGATGATGATTGTGACTTTTGGTAAACAGAATTGTAGAAGAGTAAAGATTTGTGCATTTGTCATTGTAAAAGGATTAGTGGTTGATTTGTGTTGTCCAGCAATTAGAGTGAGATG